TCATGACTTCAGTCTTGTGTGACTTTCAGGTCTTTGTCCTATGTGACGACTCTGAGCTGTTTTGCTTTTGTGGCTCTGGTGTTTTTTTACTACTTGGTGGATGTAAAGAAGTGGTGGTCTGGAGCTCCCTTCTTTTACCCTGGTAAGCACTTTATACCTGGGGCCCGCTCTTCGTACGTGGCTAACTCAGTTAGCTGGATTTGATTGTTGATGATTTGGCATGATCTTGGTTTGTTTGGTTTTTCGAAGCTCATCTCGGAGTTGCTGTCATAGCAACATGTCCGTAAGCTTAAACCTTTATTTCATGTAAACAGGATTAGATTGCATCTTTTTAAGCAGAATTAATACTTAAAATCTGTCTGCTACCACCGCTACTTTACAAGAGTACCCTCTAGGGACAATAATTTAAAATAATTATCATTTAAAAAAATAATTTAAAGATAATATAACAAGGTTGTGTAGTCTTTAATACTATAGACACAGCCAGTTTTACTCACTGAAAGATTTATTCGTCATAAAATGATTACTTCATAATTGTATTCGAGTCTTACACACATGCTATACAGATAATGTAGAGTCGTGCATTAATTTGAGTGATGACAGCTATTATGGGAGTGGCTTGATGGAGCGCAGGAGATGCAGATAAGATGATCTTGACCCAACCCCTTAACTGTCACCCCCCATTTTTTAAAATAGGCATGAAAGTGCACTATCCAAACTTAAATTGTTGTAATTTATGAACACTTTGGAATACAGACCTAAGGTTGGTCTCTTTTTTTAAAGAAGAAAATCAGCAGGTTATTGCAAAAGTGGAATTTCTTTTCAAAAAAATGTAAGTATCAAAAAGTTATAGAAGTTTAAATTTACTGTAAAGAAAATGCACTATACTCATTATATTTTATATATAATAAATATTTTACATAACAGGTTTTACTCTAAAATTGGTATAAAATTAAAGCCTTGTGTCTAAATAAGTTATGTTCCAAATTTGAAGTTGATATGAAAAAAATTGAGGTTCCTGTGGGATTTTATTTTGGGCGTTATACTACAAACAGCCACTGGGTGCCATCCAAACTCCATTGAATTTTTTTAATGCATTTTTCTGTCACAATCTCTCTGTCAATATTACTTCTATCAGAAAATACCAAATATGGAATCCTGAGACTCAGACCTTTCCAGTGATATGTTTTTTGTCAAGTTTATTAAAAGTTGAGATTCTAAAATACCGTAATGCATTTTGTAATATGACTCTTGAAACCGCCCACTAAGGGGGAGGAGACCAGCAAAAGATTTTAAAGTACCATTTCCATGGTAACGCAATGTCTGATTTCAAAGTGGTTTTCACAGGATGAATCTTGGGCTTCTAACCTTTCAAATGATATATAATTTATGATGATTACTAAAAGATTTGATAGCGAAAAAGGACAATAACAAAAAAAAGAGCGCCAAGCGTCCCACAGGTGGGATTACGTTATTTTTTATAACGTGTCTTAATTATTACGTTATTAATTATATGATGTCATTACGTTGCTGTCTTGCCGCCAACCAATCGCTGCATTGCTGATCGTGGTTTCGAGTATTGATACATAGCCCCTTTTAAACCAATCCATGAACATAGTGGTTTTCACAGGATGAATCTTGGGCTTCTAACCTTTCAAATGATATATAATTTATGATGATTACTAAAAGATTTGATAGCGAAAAAGGACAATAACAAAAAAAAGAGCGCCAAGCGTCCCACAGGTGGGATTACGTTATTTTTTATAACGTGTCTTAATTATTACGTTATTAATTATATGATGTCATTACGTTGCTGTCTTGCCGCCAACCAATCGCTGCATTGCTGATCGTGGTTTCGAGTATTGATACATAGCCCCTTTTAAACCAATCCATGAACATGCAATTATCTCAGATTACTCAATCCAGCCATACTAATCATCAGTTGCGTTCAAAGAACCGAATTAGCCAGCTCCTGATTAGCGCGATGATATCATCTTGGATGTGACATTTCATCTCGGATGTAATAAGCGACGTACGAAGAACGGGCCCCTGAGGTCCCACAGCCAGAATCAATGAACCTGAACTCATGAATGCACCCAAAATTAGTTTATCTGGCTCTGGCATTTAAGAGTTGAAACTTATAACTTAGAACTCTATATCCATGTTTGTATTAATGTGGCATAAATGACTTAAAATGACTGTGCCATTAAACTGAATTGGATGTTATTTAGGTAGCTAACTATAATCATGTTGACAGTTTAATCAAAGTTTAAAAAAGAAGAAGACAGTGTACGCTAAGGCTGCACGATAAAAATCATATTATGGTCACAATTTCTGCTTCTCTCGATTTATTAAGCATACTCATCTGCGATATTTGCCTGCTGGTTATTTATCCTGAAAACATTTCATTTGGCAATTGTGTTATCTTGCATTGGTAACAAGCCTCCACAAGCTTTGTTGCGGTTGCCAGATTTGCTGTCCAAAGGTTTACTCTTCCCAGCCTGGCAACCACTCTCTCTACATTAGGGAAAAGGGTTGATGATTTGAAAACACCGGTAAGTGTGTAAATTGGAGTTCAGCGATCTCCACTGCAATGTTTTGCTCAAGTGAAAGTGTAATACAGTCAGTCGGTTTTCTTTCATGCATTCGCTTGCGCTAATTACTGCTAAATCTACGAGCAAACCATGCGAGGTGACGTTCTCTTGATTTGTGCTTATGTGAAAATGCAATCATTCTGATGAAACGTTAAAAAAACCTAAAATGACAATAATTATGATTCTATTTTTTAAGCAAAATAATCTACGCTATTCTGCATACTTGCATTGTTTTATGAATTGCTTTCAAGTTTACCCTTTATTTGGCAGGTATGAATTCCATTTTGGTGTATGTGGGTCATGAAGTGTTTGAGGAATACTTCCCTTTTCGTTGGAAAATGGCCAATAGCCAATCGCATGCAGAGCACCTGGCACAGAACCTTGTGGCCACCTCCATATGGGTGATCATAGCCTATCTGCTCTACAGGAGGAAGATCTTCTGGAAGATTTGATGTTGTATCACTGTCCTGCAGATTTAGGAGCTGCTCTATATTGTGAAAGATTATTTGGATATTTTTAGTTGTAGAAAATCAGCAGATCTCTGAACATCTGTGCAGAGACTAAAACTCACACATGATCCAGGAATAGAACTTGGCTATTATTTGAGCAGAGCAGAAGGAAGAAGAGAAAAGAAGAGCATGTGGCTGTGCCAGGATACTTCTGTGGACTCAACAAAGCCCCTAGAATGAATGCCAAGGCCAGATTCTGCTCAATTTTAATTTCGATCAACTGGTTTGGTTTCATGAATTACGTTTTGAAGCATAATGATGAAGTATGATTGATTATAGAATTTTTTAAATTGTGATATGGAAGAATTCCGAAAGTCTCGGGACTAATTTACTGTATTTTTAGTTAAGGTTATGATTCATGCAATTATGAAAGTTAAAGCAAATGAGGAAGGGGAGAGAAAAGAAAAAAAAAAGTCTTCCATCAAGGTCAACAAAATGTGCTGAAACATTCGCTCTTAAGGTAAAATACTATTAACAGTTTTATGTTTAGTTTAATGTCATGAACGCTCTTGTAGTGTTTTTACTTTTTTACTTTATTTTCAGTGTCTATCTCTATCAGTCTTTATCTCTTTTTTGATAATGTGGTTTTATTCTTTATATTTTAAGATGAAAGTATTACGGTTAAAAGGATGCATGTTTGTGAGAGAAAAAGAGAGTGTGTCCTGCCTTCTAAATAAAAAAAAAACTTTTGCACAACTTGGAGTGCCAAATGTAATGTACTTTATGGGTTCTCGTATTAAACAATGTCCTTGTTTATTACAGTTTACCAATAACTTGTTACCTCTACCATATAAAAAAAAAAAAATAATAATAAAAAATCCAAGAGAAGGGAAAATATTGATCATATGTTGTAATGGTTAATGGATATTTCACACATGTATGAACTACATATGTATATTTTTGTTTTATACTTGACATGGGATGTGGTAAAAATAAAACTACTTTTTTTTACCATTAAATCTATCTTTTTTTTTTACATGTTGATGAGGTGATAATGGGACCAGGAGTCTTGATATCCTAGTATTGAATGTTTCTAAAATAGTGTCATTAATATGGCAACTCAAATCCACTGGGAACCCATGGCAAACTACAACTAAAAAATGACTTAATGACCGAAGAGCTCTATTGAATGAACTGTACATCTATGACCTAGCATCAGTTTCATGGTGACATTTACTCACCTGCATGTCATTCCAAAACGTTGGACTTTTTTTTTTTTTGGCCATACAAATGGAAGCCAATGGTAACCACAACTGTTTGGTGACCAACACTCTTTTAAAAAATACCTTCGTTTGTAAGTCACTGCAAGATGGCAATCTTCCTTTTTTGGTTAACGGACCGTTTTACTTTGAAAACGGGTTGGAATTATTTGTGACTAATCTTAGAGCACGATAAACCTAGCAACAAAAATGCAGTCACCTTTCACACGCACCATTCTTGGCTGAATCAATTAAGCAAATCCACTGGGAACCCATGGCAAACTACAACTAAAAAATGACTTAATGACCGAAGAGCTCTATTGAATGAACTGTACATCTATGACCTAGCATCAGTTTCATGGTGACATTTACTCACTTGCATGTCATTCCAAAACGTTGGACTTGTTTTGTTTTTTTTGGCCATACAAATGGAAGCCAATGGTAACCACAACTGTTTGGTGACCAACACTCTTTTAAAAAATACCTTCTTTTGTAAGTCACTGCAAGATGGCAATCTTCATTTTTTGGTTAACTGACCCTTTTACTTTGAAAACTGGTTGGAATTATTTGTGACTAATCTTAGAGCACGATAAACCTAGCAACAAAAATGCAGTCACCTTTCACACGCACCATTCTTGGCTGAATCAATTAAGCGTTACTGCGCCTTTAAGAAACCTGTTCCGACAGTGAGGGTAAGCAGTGCGCATGCGTGACAATAGAGGAAGTCGGTAATGGTTAAGGATGATGTGGACGTGAAACGGCCGAGAGCATCAGCGCGTTTTCAAGAAAGAAAAACAATCTTAAAGACGGACTTACGGATATGAAGCGCGGTTTTTGAGAGGTGTCGGAGTTTCTCTGCACCGAGACAGAACACACCTACGGTCCGCGATGATGGCAGAATGCGAGCCTACCGACGGCGAGCCGGAGAAAGGCGGCGGATATTTCACACCGGAGTCGAACTTTCTCGCGTCGGAGGTGCCCGCGGTGTTATTTGAAAAGACCCGGCCGGCGCCGTCACCGTCACTAGGACTCTCGCTGAACCCCGGGGCAGCGGTCCGGATCTCGAACTCGACGGAAAGCGTGCTGACGGAGCTGGAAGCGGACGGCTCGGGGGAAGAGGCGCTACTGTTACCGGGACCTGCCGTGAATCTCTCACCTCGGGCTGGAAGAGACAAAAGGACGCGGAGGAACAGACACAGCTCCTCATCTGATAATCTGGCATCACCAGGTGAGATATATGAGCTGCATAAAGCAGCTCGTAATCAGATCAACATGTATTCAGATTCATACAAACGGATTCAAGGTAACGTTAGAGGTGTCACACTTCAACACCTTTTGTTTTGCTTCTCTGATTTTGATGCGTATGTTTCATTATACTATTTCAGGTTTGTAAATAACATTGTTTTTTATTACTGCTCTTTAATACAATCAACAGAATTCACACAGTGGTTATTAATTAAACATAATTAAAACTATTAACCACGCCTTTATTTAAATATAGCCACTCCCCCTCTTAAATGACAGCCACTCTTCGTCATCTGAATTCAACCGGGGAAAGAACGCACGAGGGACCCGTCTGCGTTAGTTTCCATAGCAACCGCGTGTGTTCTGTTTCTGTTGTGCGCAGTGTTCCAGAAACCAGCTAATGTACCTTTTGGGAACTTTGAAAGGAATTCAATTAAAAACATTTTTTCAGAGAGTGGAGAGTTTTTTTTTTGCCTCCTATTTTACACACACAGAACAAGTTTTCATGCAAAAGAATATTAAAACTAAATATTCTAAATTTGCTCCCACACACGTTCTCTGTTCCCTGTGCTGTTACTCCATCTGCTTTATCTCAGAATGTGGTCCATTATGCAACCTTTTCCACAGTTCAGCTTACATGCTCTTTGAACCCTGGGGCAGAGGTGGGACCAAGTCATTGTTTTGCAAGTCACAAGTAAGTCTCGAGTCTTTGCATTCAATTCCCGAGTCAAGACAGGCAAGTCCAAGTCGAGTTGCAAGTCCTCAACTTTTAGCTTCAAGTCTTAAAGGGGTCATATGATGCTTTTTTAAAGATCATTATTTTGTGTATTTGGTGTAACAGAATATGCTGACATGCTTTAATGTTCAAAAAACACATTATTTTTCAAATACTGAATTTTCAAATTTTTCAAATACTGTACATTATTGTAGGTCCTCTATGCCCCGCCTCTCAAACGCTTCATTTTCTACAAAGTCCCTCCTTCCGACAAGTGCAGTCTGCTCTGATTGGCCAACTGACCCAGTGCATTGTGATTGGCCGAACACCGCAAGCACGTGTCGGAAATGTAACGCCCCTTACCATAATAGTGAGCTTCATCATAAATGTAAAGACTGTAAATAATGTCATTAGTTTTACCATCAGTTCAAACCTGAAAGGGGAACAGAGTCGCGTGACAGACACCGTGATGAAGCTGGTATGTGTTTGCAGTACACAAGAACTTTTAGCTTCAAGTCTTAAACAAGTCATTAGTGCTTTTCGCCCAAATTAGTGTCTCAGTATTAATTACCATATCAAATTCATAGTAATTTATATCAGGAAGGCAGGTAGAATATGTTTGGCATAGTTAAATTTCAAGTGAGATGGGTGCCCTTAGTAAAATTACTCAATTTAGGGATTGTGCCAAAATAGGCAGTGAAAAAAATAGCAAAGACAACATAATTTCATAGAAATAACAGCTGCAACATACTTTGCATGTGTGCATAAGAATATATGCTTCTAGGTGTTATATCGAAGCCAATGAGCCATTATTTGGAACCTCAATGAAACAGATTTAAAAATATGTGAGCGGAAACGCAGAAAGAACTGCTTTGAAAGAACTAGAAGAAATAACTGCAAGCGTACTTTACAAGTGAGAGGAAACATGCAATATGGATGCAGACAAACTCATGAAAACAAGCATTCAAAAATGCTGTGCTACCATCCTTTATATCTAAGAGCAACAAAGACAAAATCATGTTGTACGTTAAATGTTAAGTTTATAATATGCATAGTTGATCACTAAATTTAGGGGCTATGTGTGCTATAGGCCTACAGACTGATTTACAACACGTGAATTCATTCATTTATCCTGAAAGAAATGGAAGTGACATGAGTCCCTGGTGAAGAGGGAGAAAAATTGAGTAGCCTATATTTTATAGTTATATATACAATACTCATTTTGTGAAAGAAACACTTCTTCAAATGATATTTTAAATTATCATTAGGCCTACTGCCGCTTGCCCACTTCAGACATTAGGCCTAATGTGCATTTCTTCTTCAAATTATAGCTAAATGGTTTGCAATGATTCATTTTAAATCTAGATTAAATCAAGGTTTATCTAATAATTCTGTTGCACCAAACTTTAAACGTTTAAAAATAAGCAGGTTTACATTTTAACCCATCATTTTGATCCTGGATTTAAGTTATATTTAAGATTAACTTTAATCCTGTTGCACCATAACTTTAAACTCAGATTTAAATCTCGATTATGGATTAACTTTAAACTAAATGGAGGTTTAAATACAATAAAAATTCATTCATTTATCCTGAAAGAAATGGAAGTGACATGAGTCCCTGGTGAAGAGGGAGAAAAATTGAGTAGCCTATATTTTATAGTACATTTCTATTGTACATCATAGCTTAATAGTACTTTTTACTAAATGTATTGTAATTGTTTTATTGTTATGTTAATATGTAATTTTCTTTTCTTTTAGGGTGACTATTACCATCTGTCTAGGGACTGCAGGTGAAAAATAGCCTTCTGGCTAATTCTGGCATATTGACAGAAATGTTTATTAATATGCATTGTCCCTGTAATAAATAAATAAATAAATAGTTATATATACAATACTCATTTTGTGAAAGAAACACTTCTTCAAATGATATTTTAAATTATCATTAGGCCTATTGCCGCTTGCCCACTTCAGACATTAGGCCTAATGTGCATTTCTTCAAATTATAGCTAAATGGTTTGCAATGATTCATTTTAAATCTAGATTAAATCAAGGTTTATCTAATAATTCTGTTGCACCAAACTTTAAACGTTTAAAAATAAGCAGGTTTACATTTTAACCCATCATTTTGATCCTGGATTTAAGTTATATTTAAGATGAACTTTAATCCTGTTGCACCATAACTTTAAACTCCGATTTAAATCTCGATTATGGATTAACTTTAAATACAATAAAATGCATATGCAAATAAAATATGTACCTGATCGAACAGAAACAGTAAAGATCTGACAAAAACAGGTCTCCGAGAGGTGTTTATTACAAAAATAATTTAAAGCACATCGAGCGGGATGCCCGGGATGCGTATTCGTCACTCTTGGTGCACCTGGGTGTCAAACAAACAGAAGAAGTGAGGAATATTTAACAGAAGCGATCACGGTGATGATGAGGCGAGCACCAGTGATCGCGGCCGCGCCTCTCGTTCTCATCCGCTCTGTGTGTCTGCTGGGCGGCAATCAAACGGACAGGGCAGCGCTTTTCACGAGTGGAGATCGCTAGACGAATCATGTAATTTTTAACTTTTGTCATAAGTTATGTTATTACTCCATTAATGTATACTAGCCTATAAATCCAGTGCTCCCTGAACGCAGTCTCTGGCTTATTGCCAGTCAAGCGCAAGTACGCTGCAGTGACGCCTCTATAACGACTTTGATCTGATCATAAAGTCTTTCCGAGTCACAGGGCTCAAGTCCAAGTCAAGTCTCGATTCCTTGCTGTCAAAGTCTAAGTCGAGTCTCAAGTATTTTTTAATTATGTCGAGTTGAGTCGCAAGTCATCAAATTTGGGACTCGAGTCCAAGTCAAGTCTCGAGTCATGTGAGTCAAGTCTCGAGTCATGTGACTCGAGTCCACACCCCTGTACACATGTACAGGTGACACCCTAGCTGATTGCTAACATATCTACACAACTCTTGATATTCGTGCTTGGCTGTTTCTGTGTGTTGCATGTGTTTTCGTCTTTTCAGGTGCATCTGTACTAACATGATTACTGGAGCAGCTGTGGGGTGTATTGATGCAATAAAGTTTTCTTGCATATTAATAACAGGTTCATTTGAATGCAGACGAGCCAGAGAGCAGAAAGACACTGGCTTCTGTTTTATCTCTAATATCTACATCTAATCCTTCAGTGAAGGGGGAAAAACTCCCACTAGAGTCTCACATGAGTTGCATTGCCTAGTTTAAATGAAGATATTAGCGTTGCATCACTGTGATATGCTATGTTTGCTTTGTTTTATCGGCATAATTATCTCCACAAAGCATGCAAATAATACATATAATTATTAAATATAATTTCAGCCTCCTTGTCTTTCGTTACGCAAGAAAGCAATATGATTGGTAAGATCCCAAAGAAGGTCACATTACACTTTAAAATGCCTGAAAGCGAGATGAAGTGGGAGTAGCAAGTGACTGATCTTTTCTTCTGAATTGTGATGTGCATACGAGTGTAAAAAGGAAAAAAAATAATTAAAATGGTTGGAGACGTCTTGCACGTGTCACCAGAGAGCCGTTTTCACTGGAAGATCCATTTATGACATTTTAATTAAAAGTTCAGCTTAAAAAAAAAAAAATGCATGGATTGATTGTTCACTATAAGATCTATAACATGCATTTAGAAAATACATAGACAAATACATAATGCATAAAATACTAGGGATGCACGATATTAGATTTTTGCTGATATCCGATATGCCGATTATTTTCAACTCATTTTGGCCGATGCCGATATATAATTATTTTAATTTTTGGTTCATTTTTAACAAGAACTTATTTGTTAGAATTAAATAAACAATAATACAGTTCTTTTATAATTACAGTACATTGAAGATATGAAAATAACTATAAATAAACTATATATTAATTACTGCATTTTTTTTTTCCAGAAAGATTCAATGGTAACCTTAACATTTTATGATTTAACATTTGTAAATGGTTTAAAGCAAAAGAGTTGTAAAAATTCAGAAAATCTTTTAGAGCTCATAAGTTTTGTGTATTTTGCTTTCATTTTATTAGAAGTAGGCCAACAGCGTCCCCTACGGAATTAAAACTCCTTACTGAGCGGTCATTAGGACGCGGGGGAGGCTGCCGCTGCACGTGCTATTACTGTTTACTTTATCACACACCAAATGCTCATTCTGTACAGTGCATTCTCAGTTTTAATGCAGCGATCCAAAACAGTGAATCCAATCCCCATTCAGGCAAAACTTTGCTTCAAGAATGAGCCACACTGCTGACGTGATCTAATTGCTAGCACACCCTGAGCACATGTGAGTTAATGTATTCCTCTTATCGGCAAGACATATTGGCATCATTTTTCATATCGATATGATGCAGATATTTACATTTAAAGCCTTTATCGGCCGATTCCGATATTGATCCGATAATATCGTGCATCCCTACTCTAAAACTTTCTTTTAAAAACGTTTTCTTCTTTTCTTTTAATGTTTCTGTGGCTCAGTGGTAGAGCATTGCATTAGCAGCGCAAAATATTGTGGGTTCAATTCCCAGGGAACACACATACTGGTAAAAATGGTATAGCCTGAATGCACTGTAAGTCGCTTTGGATAAAAGCATCTGCTAAATGCATAAATTATAATTTTTTTTATTATTACTAAAAACAGATTCACAGATGATGCTAAAGTTGCTTTTAAAAAATATAACATATTACACATTGATGAATAAATCAGTATATATAAAATTATTTAAGTGTCATGTTTGTGATTTTTTTTTTTTGTTCATGTAAGCTAAGCTATAGCTTCTGACCTTTAAATCAAAATATACTCATGATTTTATGGCATCAATTACTGCTTTATTTAATCAGAAACACAGTCTAAATGTTATGTGTGTATTTTGCTTTCATTCTATTAGAAGTTGGCCAACAGTGCCCCCCTACGGAATTAAAACTCCTTACCAAACGGGCATTAGGAGGCTGCCGCTGCTGCCACTGCAGGTGCTATTACTGTTTACTCTATCATACACCGAACGCGTCATTCTGTACATGCATTCTCAGTTTAAATGCAGCATCAAAACAGTGTATCTAATCATTATTCAGGCAAAGCTTTGCTTCAAGAATGAAAGCAACACCTGAGCACATGTGAGTTAATGTATTCCTCTTATCGGCAAGACATATCGGCATACTTTTTCATATCGGGTGATGCCGATATTTACATTTAAAGCCATTATCGGCCGATTCCGTGCTTCCCTATAAAATACATACAAGGCAAATACATAAACATAGACAAAATACAAATACGTAATACATGGTTTACATTTTACTTTAAATTTGTTCAAGTTAGATTTAAAATCCAACTTATCTTCTATATTTTTTATTTATAATTTTAGTTTATTTAAAGATTTATTAAATTTAAAGGGTATTTTGCACTGTTGATCATTGTCACAAAATTAACTCGACAGTGTTAGAAATTTGTCAGGTGTTGTATCACCGTGAAGGTGTTTATTTTGCGCTAATTCTACTGTAATGTACAAGTGGATGTGGAAGTACAAATACCCCTGTAAAAATGAAAAGAATAGTATTTTTAATTGCCATATCTCCAGTGAGCCTAAATTATCCTGAAGATGTGAAAGAGAGTTAGTAGGGAAATTAGTCTTTTTGAACTCATGCAATTTTGGCAGCATGACAAAGACATCTGCGACTGCAGTTATTATTAATTTCATGGATGTGACTCAAGACTGCCTCTAGTTTATTTTGTGTATGAGATCGATGTCTCGCTGTGTTTACAAAACCGGTTGTAATCAACTAACATTGAATGAGTTTTGGAGCGGCACGAGTGTATGTCATTATAACACATTGTAGCCAAGATAAAGTATTTCAAAATCAAGCCATTTATGATGATAATTGATGATAATCCATTGTTTGGATGGGTGTGTCTGTGTGTACGAGAGAGGGAAAGTGCACTTGTCGTCTTCTAAATGTTTAATAACTATCAGAGAGGTTCTGGCTGTCTGTGTCTAATGGACTCTCTTATTCATCCACCCTATGTAGGCCACTTTGTGTTAGTTTTACTGCAGTGTGTGCATTGTGTAGTGGATTCTGAAATGACCGTTTTAGTGAAATAAATAAAACCCTCCCTGGGTACAGGTATCATGTGAGATGTAGGCTATGTGTGTCGTTAGGCTTTGTTCACACTGGTTTTCAAACTTGATCTTTTGGTCTGCGCTGTCATTTTGCAAGTAATTGAATCTGATAATCTGTTTGTACAAGGTTGCTGCATGGGTTGCTATAGTAATAATGTATGCGTCAGCAAGAATGCCGCAAGGCTCTCTTTCAACAGCTGAGAGAGCCAAACCACTTTTGGATGTGGTTTCATTGAGTTTTCTAAACATTGGATTTCATGTGGTTTGTTCAGGCTGCAAAAAACTATTCATTTGCATCATAAATGCTAATTATTTTTTTTCGTGCAGTTCTGCACAAAGCCTCAGTGAGCAAGTTGTGGATGCAGTTTTCAGAGTCAGTTACTTTAGGTTGGAATGGATGGTGACTGAATCATCTGATCTGATAATCAGCTGCCTGTATGCAGATCACATGAGTGTGCGTCTGTAACTTGCATGTGAAACACTGATACAAGGGTAAGCATTAGGAATTGGACAAAAATGTGTTTCTTCATTTTATTAAATCATGGCCACGTTGTAGTAATTTTAATGAAATCCAAGGGAATGAATTGGTACAAACGTGGACATGATTTAATAAAACAAGCAAACACATTAAGTTGTACCATTTTATTTTTTTGTGTGTTTTTAAATTTCTTTTGTAAGGAAAAGATGTAAATATCTAACGTTAAAGATCAAGGTAAGCGCTACAGTGTCATTGACAAATGATTTTATGGCATCAATTACTGCTTTATTTAATCAGAAACACAGTCTAAATGTTATGTGTGTATTTTGCTTTCATTCTATTAGAAGTTGGCCAACAGTGCCCCCCTACGGAATTAAAACTCCTTACCAAACGGGCATTAGGAGGCTGCCGCTGCTGCCACTGCAGGTGCTATTACTGTTTACTCTATCATACACCGAACGCGTCATTCTGTACATGCATTCTCAGTTTAAATGCAGCATCAAAACAGTGTATCTAATCATTATTCAGGCAAAGCTTTGCTTCAAGAATGAAAGCAACACCTGAGCACATGTGAGTTAATGTATTCCTCTTATCGGCAAGACATATCGGCATACTTTTTCATATCGGGTGATGCCGATATTTACATTTAAAGCCATTATCGGCCGATTCCGTGCTTCCCTATAAAATACATACAAGGCAAATACATAAACATAGACAAAATACAAATACGTAATACATGGTTTACATTTTACTTTAAATTTGTTCAAGTTAGATTTAAAATCCAACTTATCTTCTATATTTTTTATTTATAATTTTAGTTTATTTAAAGATTTATTAAATTTAAAGGGTATTTTGCACTGTTGATCATTGTCACAAAATTAACTCGACAGTGTTAGAAATTTGTCAGGTGTTGTATCACCGTGAAGGTGTTTATTTTGCGCTAATTCTACTGTAATGTACAAGTGGATGTGGAAGTACAAATACCCCTGTAAAAATGAAAAGAATAGTATTTTTAATTGCCATATCTCCAGTGAGCCTAAATTATCCTGAAGATGTGAAAGAGAGTTAGTAGTACATGCATGGACGAATTGTTCACAATAAGATGATGATTGTACATTTTGAAAAAAAAAAGAAATGATAACACAGGTAATTTTCCATGTTATGTCTAAGGAATATGTAGAAGTCATCTTTATGGTGTATTCACATCTACACTGAGTTATACTAGTGTTCTTAGCTTGTACAGGAATTATAGTAGCTGGATTCTGTTTAGTCTACATTTTTTCTTTTGGCAAATTTGACTAAATAGTTAAGAGAACCCACATTTAAGCTGTCAGAACCTAGTACAGAAAATGAAAACATTGCATTTGCTGGTCTTTAGATGAATCACTTTGATATTGAACCTTTCATGTACGGTCTATATATATTTTTCGGCTTCTCTGCACTCCAGAAATGTCCAGTGCTCTTTTAATTTTTTTATCGTTCTGAAGGCTGGTTTGCAGACAGCAAAAGTGTTGGACTAAATTGCATGCTCACTAGTGATTCAGCTTTGAAGTTTGAATTTCTAGGAGATGGTTCAATTTTGTTCCAGATAAAAATATCCTTGAGCACGAATTTCACTCTGATGGAAGTTATTAAAAGAAAACCATTCCCCAAACGTTCTGCTGTATGGCCTTTTGAGATGAGGGGACATAATTACATATAAATGCAGACATGCAAGAGAATATATTCACTGCACTGTACATTTGAATCACTTTGTATGTGTGCATATAGGTAATAACAGTGGAGAATTCAACCATTTCCCAGAAGACCCAGAGTTTGGCGAGATCATCCAGAGAGCTGAGCAGGCGATAGAAAGTGGCGTTTTTCCTGAACGCATCTCACAAGGATCTAGTGGAAGCTACTTTGTCAAAGATCCCAAAGGGGTATGTGTATTTGAATGTTAAGTGTAGAGATTGACGCTGAAATAATCAGTTTTAATAGTCATAACAGAAAAAAGAAGAACATTGACCATAACAAATTTCCGTCAGGGATGAAAAACGTCATTGTGCGGTTTGTACGCAACGTCATGCGTCGCAGTGTTTACCGTAGGATAATGTATGCATGATTACCTCTCTCCTGTGTGCTAAACGAATGTTTATGCATGAATGTTAACGTGTCATTGGTTTGGATTCATTCTCTCGGAAAAACATTTTTTTTACAGTATAGTTCCTAGTAGTTATTTTCTTGATGCCTGTATCTTCTCTCTTTTAGAAAATCATTGGCGTGTTTAAACCAAAATCAGAGGAGCCTTATGGTCACTTAAACCCTAAATGGACCAAATATTTCCATAAAGTCTGCTGCCCATGTTGTTTTGGCCGTGGTTGCCTCATTCCTAACCAGGGATACCTCTCTGAGGCAGCTGCCTCACTTGTTGACCAAAAACTGGGTTTGGGGATTGTACCCAAAACTAAGGTGAGGATGGGCATTATAGACGCATTTACATTTACTTTAAGAAAAAGCTTTGCTCCTGGAATTAAGACCCAAACTTTTTGCCCTTTGTTTTCAGGTAGTGCATTTGGCCAGCGAGACTTTTCACTATAATGCAATTGACCGTGCCAAATCCCGTGGTAAGAAATATGCACTGGAGAAAGTCCCCAAAGTTGGACGACGGTTTCACAGAGTTGGCCTTCCTCCAAAGGTAACGAAACGCCTAATTTTGAAACCGTTCTCATGGATGCACAAAAACAACTAAAGCACTGTATTATGCAGGCCACTTTGTAAAAAAATGTCTGCATGTCTATAGACTGAACACATAACACACATGTGCATGACGTCACCGTTTTCACAAATCTGTGTTTTTATAGTTTACACAGAGATAAGTATCATTTAAAAAAAAAAAAAAAAAAAACGTATGAAGGTTTTTTTTTTTTTTTTTTTTTACGGCAAAACGCCATTGTCGTGTAAAGGAGGGGCCACGACTCATAAAAGTTTTTCATTTTTTTTGTTGAAAATGGGACACCCATAACTATTCCAATTTTTGTTTTAAACGACAGAATGTTAATTTTTTTTGTTCATCTCTTTTTTTTCAAACCTCGCTCAATTTCTTGTATGGAACACAAAAGGAAATATGTTGCCATATGTTTACTTAGTACCATTATTTCTTGAAAATGTTGAGGCTGTAGCTCTAAATTCTCATTTGCAATTTTGTGCCCAATCATTGGCAGAGAGTAAGGGTGTTTTCACATCTGTAGATCGATTGGTTTGTTCCGAAACGGATTAAAATGATTAGCTAAGGGGGGAAACGCGCCAGGTTCCGAAACAACGGGCCAGGTGTGAAAACACCCTAAGATTTCCAGAAAAATCCTGATTTGCTGTTTTCTTTTGTGAAGGTGGGCTCATTTCAGTTGTTTGTGGAGGGCTATCATGAAGCAGACTACTGGCTGAGGAAGTTTGAGGCAGAGCCTCTTCCAGAGAACATGAGGAAGCAGCTTCAGTCTCAGTTTGAGAGGCTGGTGGTGCTGGATTACGTCATCAGAAACACAGGTACCTAATGCTGATGTTCAAGATCTTGCTTTGTTCAAGCCATTGTTCTTGAACTTATTCTCTTAGAAAGCCTTGAGTTATTTTGACTAAAATAGCTATGCTATAAAGTAGGGCTGGACGATATGGCCAAAATTTGTATCACAATATATTTCTTAATTTCAGTCGATACGATATAATTCCGATATCGATATGAACACTATTAAAAAAGCCTCATAAAAACGTCCAAGAATGGCCACAAGAGATGTCTGTACCTACAAACTCATGAAAAATTTATTTGCCAACTCTATGAAACCTACTCCTATAAAACTATATAATATTTTAGGGAAAAAAATGGCGCAAATAAATAAATGTTCACCTTTTATTGGTATTTAGCCTTCATACAAACGAGAAATGTGAAATCACTGTCAAATAAATCTCAGACTCTCCTTATTAATATTAATATTAATATTTTTTACTTCAAACTATAGGCTAACATACCAGTCAAAAGTTGTTGAACAGTAAGGTTTTTAATGTTTTTTAAAGAATTCTCTTCTGCTCACCAAGCCTGCATTTATTTGATCCAAAATACAGCAAAAAC